GGGGGTGGGGAATCACTCTTGATGATATCAATGGGAAATGAGGGGGTGGGGGGGTGGTCATGGCCTCTCTGGATGGTACTGGGGGGGAAGTGAGTGGGTCCAGTTACTCTTGCTGGTCCTGGGGGAGGAGGGGGGGTTATAGGGGGGTCCAGGACTCACTCTTGTTGGTGATGGTGGCGGTGATGTTGTAGGTGGGCGCCCCGGCGGTGCTTTTGGTCCGCAGATCCATGGTGTGTTCCCCATCCACCAGCAGAGAATCCCGGATGACGGAGCACTTCTGCCCTCCCAACGTCAGCCCGTTCACCAGCAGAGCTCCGCGCTCCGGAGACACCAACGCGTTCACCTCGGCGGGCTGGGGGGGGAGGCAAGGGGGTAAGCGACCCCGGGGAGACGCTCTACCCACCCCTCCCCAACTCTACTGCCCCCCCAGCATCAGCGCATTGACACCAACCTTGGAGGACTGAGGGGCAGGGAGGCACTAAGCGACCCCAGGGCGACACTCTACCCACCCCCCACACTCTACTGCCCTCCCAGCGGCAGCCCATTGACACCAACCTTGGAGGGCTGAGGGGCAGGGGGGAGAGACTCCGGGGCGACGCTCTACCCACCCCTCCCCAACTCTACTGCTCTCCCAGCAGCAGCCCATTGACACCAACCTTGGAGGGCTGAGGGCTACGCTCTACCCACCCCCATCCCCACACTCTTCTGCCTTCCCAAAGTCAGGGGTGGGGGAGGGGGGGGGGGACGCTAAGCAACAGCTGGGCGACACTCTTCCCACCCCCCCACCTCCACTCTTTTGCCCTCCAACAGCAACCCACTGGCACCAACGTGCTCACCTCGGCGGTTTGAGGGGCGGGGGGGGGACGCTAAGCAACCCCAGGGTGACGCTCTACCCACCCCCACACTCTTCTGCCCTCCCAGCTTCAGCCCATTCACCAGCAGAACGCCATCAACGCGCCCAGCTTGGAGGGCTGAGGGGCAGGGGGGCGCTAGGCGACCCCAGGGTGACACTCTACCCACCCTCCCCCGCACTCTACTGCCCTCCCAACATCAGCCCGTTAACACCAGTCTCGGAGAGCTGAGGGGCAGGGGGGCGCTAAGCGACCCCAGGGCGACACTCTACCCGCCCCCCACCCCCCAACTCTACTGCCCTCCCAGCGGCAGCCCATTGACACCAACCTCGGAGGACTGAGGGGCCCAAAGCGACCCCAGGGAGACGCTCTACCCACCTCCCCCACTCTACTGCCCTCCCAGCGGCAGCCCATTGACACCAACCTCGGAGGGCCGAGGGGCAGGGGGGCGCTAAGCGACCCCGGGGCGACGCTCTACCCACCCCCACCGGAAGCCCCTCCTCCCCCCCCTCCTCCACACGCGGAAGTCGCCGCATTCCGCGCATTTTTATGGCCCCCCCCCCCCCCC